GAAGCTGAATATCGTTCTATTCGAAGGGTTACTGCAGAGCTAGCTTGGTTGTCTCGCCTTCTTACTGATTTTGGGGTTCCTAATATCACTCCTATTCCGGTTCGCTGTGATAGTAAAGCTGCCATCTACATAGCCACAAACCCAGTTTATCATGAACGCACCAAGCATATAGAATTGGATTGCCATTTTGTCAGAGAGAAGTTACAAGATGGCTTGATAATTTTGACTCATGTTCCCAGTTCAGAACAGCTTGCTGATCTTTTCACAAAGAGCTTACCTAGTTCTCTTCACCACAAGCTTCTTGCCAAGTTGGGGTTCACACACCCTCCAACTTGAGGGGGGGTGTTGGCATAACTAAAGATTAGTTTTGCTTAGCTAGCATGGTGGTTAAGTTTGTTATTAGTTAGTTGGCCGGGTTGTTATTTTCTGTTTTCTTTTAGCAATACATATATAGCAGTGCTTCTCCTTTGTATCAAACAATCAGAGAATTATCATCAATTCACATTCTTCTTCCTTCTTTTCTTTCTCTGGTTCATTTTTTCTTCTTCTTCTGTGAAGAAATCCAACAGAATTAGGGTTAGAGTAAGCCTCACAATGGATTTTTGGCATCAAAGACAAATGCGTGGTGTCCCATTTCGTCCAGTCTCTTCTTCTTTTCAGCGCTAGTACAAGTTCCAGATACTGCCCTGAGGCAAGCACAAACAAGTCTTAATGATCAATTGATCGATTAAAACTGCGTATATGGTTGAAATTGATGATCCGTGAAAAAGATAATTACCATCCTTTGCTCTTCAAAGCTGCAGCGAAGAACTCTCCAACAAATCCCATTCCTAAAATGAACATTCGACCTTTGACCTGGGTTTCCTCCCCTATACCGCAGCTGGGATTCAGAGCGCATCTTGCGTGGGGAAAAGACGGCCCCGCATTGCACGAGAAAAAATTTGAACTTTGACCTTGCCGGAGAAGAGCCGCCGGAGATGGGCGCGATAATGGGCAAAGATCCATCCCCACTCTAGAGTACAGAAGTTCCACAACAAGTTTTTCGGTTTCAAAATGGAGTTTTATGAAAAAAAATCAATGGTTCAAATGTTGACGGAAGAAATGAAATATTGTTGTTTTGACTTAAATTTTAATTTTAAAATAGGTAAGTTGTATGGAGTAAAAAAGAGATAAAAATATGAAAAGTTCCAAGTCTTGTAAGAGTACGCATTGATAGTTTGATGAATGGTAGTGTGGCAGTTAATACTACGTATGTTAGTTTGATCGGTCAACCGTCGACGATCTGCGACTTCACTCTGGTGGCCGGTGGCGACGAATGGTAGTGTGGCAGTTACAATGTGACAATGTGGTGAGTGTAGCAATGTAATGATGCAAATATGAGCTCCTATTTTGGTCATAAAAAACTTATAACTCCTATTTTATATTTTTATACGGAGTAGTTTTTTACTCTTATCTAAAGAGTTTTCCCTTTTATTTTCATACTAATTTGTACCTACGGAATATATAAAATCATTGTAAAATACTCCCTCCGTCCCAAAATGAATACCATTATTACTATTACAATTTCTCGATAACTTTTATTTCTTGTCACCTCCAGTCTTATAGAATTTTTTATATATTTTTGAATGATGTAATTAATTTTATTTTTATATCAATTTATAGTTAAAATAATTTTAAAAGTGACGAATTTTATACATTGTTCTCAGAGTTACATCTATCATGGGATGGAGGAATTAAATGAAAATTTGCACATTGTCTTAAATACAAAAAAAAAATTAGAATGTTGATGTTTTTTGTAATGAAACTACGAGTATAACTCACAACTAAATATAGGGAGTACTAGTACTCTGTAATGTCAAATGATATTAATATATACTCCGTAATGCTTAAATACATTATGAAGTATTGATGCATAATATCAAATTGTGGCATCTTACAATGTCAATATTTCTATTTAAGAAATAAAGACATAAAAAGTCTTACTTCATAGTACTTTGGTATAAGTTTCAAAGAGTGTATGGTTAAGTTTGGAAGGATCCAAGCTTCAAAAGTTTACAATTGGTAAGCTCTTAACTTTAGTACTGTTGAGACTATTGAGCGTTATCAAAGAGCTCAAAACTTCCAAAACCCAAAAAAAACACCCAAAAAAAAATGACATTAAACCAGTTATAAGATCACACAGATCATACTAAATTTCACATTCACACCAATGAGACATCTATTACTAAATTTAGCATTACATCTTTCCCAAATCAAGCATCAATACATGGATTCTCCAGTCCAGCATACAATCGAGGTGAAATATCCGGATCTGATCCAATTTTACCCGATCCAGAATTGATCTAAATGCATTATGAGTCCGTAAAGGGCCTTACGAAAGTCCTCCGCCACCACACTTCAAAAGCCCTATGAAGGTTAGGGCAGTTGTCCCCAGCCTTTAGGAAGGAATCCAGCCAGGCCAGAAGAACCCTCTGCTGGTCCTCCAGAGGAAGGGTCAGGACCGTCCGCCCGATCCCTTCCTCCACGGCTCTCCGGTCAAAAGACCGGGACCCGTGATGGAGCCACCCATAGTCGCTCATCAACGGCTCTAGCCATGTCTCCAAGAGACAATGCCGCGTCTCTTTGCAGGGTAGGATTTCCCCCCTCCCTATCCCTACAAACAGCCTGGCTGTGATGAAGCTCACGTGGTGGCGGGCCACCACGTGAAGCTTCGCGTGCAGTGAGGCCAGCTCCTTCTGGCTGGCCCACATGGACGCGAACCCGTCCCCGGCTTGTCGGTCGGTTAGCATCTCAAGCATCCACTCGAGGTTATCGGCTTGAACGGCAATTTTCCTCCGAGTTGACTCGCTGTCTTCTTCTTCTTCTTGTCTTCTGAACAAACCCAACAATGAACACAAACATCTTTCGCAAGAGGTGCGAAGAATTTCATTGCACATATCATCCGAGCCTGAGAGGCTCGGATGGGAACTGTGTTCTCTGAGGAGCTTCAGTACGACCGTTTTCATCTCACGCCGCCCTCTTTCGTCGTCGCTGTTGAGCACTGATTCGAGGATGCGAGTGAGTGTGTCTTTGGGTTGTTTGGATATTCCGGGCGAGACCCGTTTCAAAACCGGGTTCACTCCCATCCCCTCTCCTTGTAGGCGTGCCACCGCCGCAACTACCTTTTCTTCTTCTTCTTCGCCCACCCAAGGGACGGCTTCCAAGTGTTCTAGGCATGACTGAATGCAGGATTTGAATCCAATCTGTTCTGCAACCTACACACACACACATATATCACTTAGATTAAAAAAATTTCCGACATCCGAAACTTAGAGAAAGAATAGTACGTGAACTATATAAGAACTTGAATTGAACTAGATAATCAATTTAATCCAATCTTTCAGTGTAGTTTGATGTTTTCCATGCCAATAGGAAAATATGTGATGACAATAGTTTTGGAACTTGATCTCCATAAAGAATAAACCATCAAGATTTTATGTATGTGTTACTCTTATTGTTGGATACCATGTTAAAATTCTGGCGGGCCAAGAACAACGGATAGAGTGTCGGGTAAAATTAACCACTTGCACATAAAGTCGGGATCCACAATTCTAACCCAAAAGCTTAAGCTAATAGGTAGGGCTTCACCCTTCAATATATGCAAGTGATACTCATCTTTATTTTCCGATGTGGGAACTCCAACTCTTATCATGTTGAATAAACCACAAGTTTGAGTTGTTAGTTGCGCTGCTTCTTTGACAAAATTAGACAAAAACCAAATTGCAGAAAAAGAAAATCACCTTGAGAATCCGCAGAACACGCGAAACACTTTGTTTGATCAACCGCGGTCTCAAATCTTTGCAATACATCAGACCCACGGTTTCAACGTATATCTCAGCATCATCACAATCCTTAACCTCAATACATTGGAAAACCGGTTCTTGTTCGGGCACTAATTTACTGGCAAAGAAACTGCTATTCTCAGCCAAAACTGCCCTGTGCACATTCAACTTGACGCCAAACCCTTGTTTCCCTTTCAAAACCACTCTAAGATCACTAGTTCTCGGTTCGCCAAACTCAATAGAAACATTCCTGTGCACATTGGGCTGATGGGTCTGCTCTGTTGCAGCCGACGTGCTAACATTTGGTGAGTTAGAAACAATGTTTGGCCTAGGTTGTGGAACATTAATGGCCTGTTTTTTCTCAGCTATGGATGTTTGTTTCTTCAGAGATGATTTGGGCTTGCTTAGAGTGTTGTGTTGTGACTTGGAAGACTTTTGAAACACAACTGGTGAGGGACAACACCAGAAACCTTCTGGGGTGACTGCAATTGGAACAGTTTTGACTTTGGTTTGACCTTTCTCTACTACCCTTGTAACTCCAATTTCAGCCATTGTTGTTACTCAAAACAAGAAAACATTCAAATAGTGAAAAAATTGCATCTTTTTTGGGCCCCACACCTCCAAATCCACAAGCTTATTTTTTGGTGCCAAGAACACAAAACCTAGAATTCAGGAGACATCAATAGATAATCCAAGAATTCAAAACCAATGAACCATACCTTAACTGTTGAGATGCAAGTCAATCTTTCTTTTATTAATTATTCAATGTGGGTTTTAATGTCTCAACATTAACTAAAGAATTATGCAATCAAAGAAGAGGAAAGAGATTAAATGAACCCAGAAAAGAGCAAAATTTCCAAATCTTGAAACTGTAGAGAAACCATAAAAGCTAGGCTAACAAATATTAATCCTAAAGAATCTAAAAATAAGCATAAAAATGGAGTCTTTAAAGACCCAAGAACAAGAAAAGGCTGAAAGTGCAGAGAGACAAAAACAAACACTGACCAACTGATACCAGCTATGGCTGAAAGAAGCTCAAAGCTCATTCATTTAAGGGGTCTGGAGAATGATTGAGGAGAGCTTTGGTGTCAAGCATGAAGGGAACCACCAAAAAGAAAGAGATTTAACAGAGTGGAATGTTGGATGGGGTTCTCTCTCTCTCTCCCATACATTTGTGGGAATAAACAGAAGAAAGAATACTAAAGTAATACGGAGTACTATTATAGTATAAATCAAGACAGCACATGCACTCAAAGGGAGAGTGATTGATTATGATAATGTTTTTAGTGATACTGTTGGTACTTGGTAGGATTTCATCTCTGTCCACTCTCGTGTGTTTGGTTAGAATTTGACAAAAAAACAAGGATTACGGTATGTGTACCCCAAGTTTTGTACCCCAATTTGTACCCCGCAGTTTTGCACCAATACGTTGTGTTGGTGTAAAACTAATTTTTGTTAAACGCACCAACATTTGTGTCCGTGTGAATTTTTATTAACGCACCAACACTTGTGTCGGTGTAAACCATCGAAATGTTTGTGCAAACCTGTGGTGTACAAATGAGGTATATTTTTTGGTGTAAGTGTAGCATGGTCCAAAAAACAATCACATGATATAATATCTAGTGATTTTGTTTGTTTAGTTTTTACTATTTGTAGTCAAAATAAATTGATTTTGACCATTATTTAGATAATACTCTCCACGTCTTTCTCTCGATAACTTTTGTTTATTTACACGATTTTATTAAATATTTAATAAAATAAAATATTGTTGTTACCCCTAATTTTGTAGAACTTTTGACCTAGTTTTTTAAAATATAATTTTTATTTCTTATTGATATACCAATTTGTAAATAAAATGATTTCACAAAGTGAAATATTTCTCCTCGTAAACCCCAATTTGTAATCAAATTGGCGACGGAGGGAGTATTTATGTTAAACATTTGTTTACGAATAATATTATTACATTTATTTTGTAAAATGTTTTTAAAATATTATTTAATCTAATTTAGTATATCATGTAATTTTTATTTAATTACACTTTAATTGCTACACTGTCACAGTCACCATAATGTCACATTATAACTGTCACACTATCACCGTCACACTGTTATCCGTTCCCGCCCGCCACCAGAGTACCACCACGGATCACCGACGGTTGACGGATCACACTGACATATTACATTATTATCAGATTTTCATCACACTGCTAATAGTACTCTTACACCATAGTGTCATTATACTCATATTTTAGTCGTAAAAGACTTAGAACTCTTATTTTGATATTTTTCATACTTTTTTACTCTTATCTATGGAATTTTTTTAAAAAATATAGATCATTTCTCGATTTGTGTGTGTTATCCTTGTGGAG